TTTAACAACTAACAACTATATATTTTATGTAACTTTTTTTGTGATAATTATATGAAGAGTGTCATGATAAATTACAACAAACGTTCGATAAATATTTTTGATGAAAATTGATAGAAGACATCTTATGAAAAGTATTAATCATACTTTACAACTTTTAAAAATTCGATCAGAATAATAATTGATTGCAGAACGGAACAGACACGTAGACAGACGTTCGAGTGCAAATTGAGAAACTCAAAGAAGGTCTTAAAATTTAATAAATTTTTCCATATTAATATTCTTTATTAATAATTTTGACTGAACATATTTCACCGAAGATACGAAATATTTTCAAAAGTTTAAATCAAAAATGATTACTAGGATAAGGAATTTCGACGTTGATGAAAATCCAAAAATTTTGAATTATATGTAACATTAAAAAAAATAATAATAAATTTTTAATATAAAAAAACATATTGAAAAAGTAGGAGAGGACGGCGTAATAAAGAATTCTGTATATAGTTAGCGTGTAATTCTAGTCTTTGAATATTACACGCACATTTAACATCTAACAAAATTTGTTGTTGCAAAGATCAATTTTCGGTCGATAACAAGGAGAAAATACTTTAGTTAGAAAATATATAATCATTCTAAAAGTTCATTATCTGTAATCCAGATAGGAAATTACAATTTGCAAAAGCAGGACAAGCGAAGTAAATGACCTAAAACTAGACACATAAAGATATTAGTGAATTTGCTAATTACATGTTCGTTACACAGATCTAGTTCCGGTCTTTCTTATTATTAACGTTACCATAATTACTATTATAAAATTATTGCTTCTGTTTTAGAAAATTAAAAAAAAATTGTTGGAATAATATTTTTTAACGTTTGGGAATATGTTCGGGATTTATTTTATAAAATTATTAGTTTTTCTAAAAAAGTTTCGCTTCTATAATTATTTTTTTACACTATCTAATTTTTCTCCCTTATATTCTTCGTAGAATTTAATTTAATTTTGTTTGTTTATATTAGTTATTGATATAACTGTTTATTCATACAAGGAAAATCGAATTTCTTCTTTTTTTTATAAAACAAAATAGCCTGTATTTTTAACTTCTAAATTGTTTATTTTTATTGTGAAATTCTGTAATAATCGTGTAGAATTATTTTTATCTCGTAGTTTTAATCTTATATAAAATTTCAAGCGCGTAAATCCGATTATTACATTGTGTATAAAATGATGTTATATTTATATTTATAGAAACTGACTTCAATGTAGTCTTACCAATGTTTCTTAAAGAAACAGAATTCTTCAATATTATTTTCTTGTAGAAATTTACCATTATTTCCTTTACAAAGCTCCATTATCATTCTCTTTCAGAATCTTATTGCTTTCGTTATAAAACTTTATAATGTTTTTTTACAAAATTTTACTACTGTTCTTTGTATAGCCTTATTACTGTTTTCTTTACAGAATTTCCTAATTGTCTTTTTTTATAGAATCTTCCTATTCTCTTTTGCAACCCCTACCAATGTCCCTTTACAGAGTGTTAGTATTTTCCCTTATGAACCTTATCATTATTCGTCTAAAGAACCTTATCGTCATTTCCTTTACAAAACTTTATCATTGTTCCCTTACAGAATCTTATAGAGCTTATAAACTACAGTTCCGTTACAGATCCTTTCCAATATCTTTCATTACTGAAAAGTAGGCTTATCAATTTTTTCGTTTTATAGTATTACTGTTTTCTTCTTTTCTTCTTTTTCTTATAAAAAATATCCCGCTTCAAAAAATACATTACCGAAAAAGAATAAAAATTCCATTACAAAATCCAAATTCCGCTTCTCGCCGACTGCACGTTACAACTTCATTTGCAACTTTTTGACATTTTCAATTATTAATAACGTTTTAAAATATACCAAATTAAAAATAAAGTATTTGAATTTGTGCAAATAGTTCATTTTATTTACTAGAAAATAAATTCTCCTCATGCGTGAACGTTTTCTTAGATTGATTATCAAAGACGATCGTTAAGCTTAGTTATTTTCTAGTTAATTATCTAAAAACGCAGACGGTTTTTTTCATTTTTTCAAAAATTGAATTCAAATAACATCCATCTAAAAATATTAAAATTTAATTTCTATACTTATTTACATTTTTCTTTATCTTCGAATAAGTTGTTTCGTATAAAATAAACGAAAAACGAACAGATTTAAGAAACGAAAAAAAAACAAGCAATTTATCCCGTCTGTTACGGTTTCAAAACAAATCTCGAATGATTAGATTCTTTAAAGGGATTAACTGTTTCTGTAGCTATCAACATCTAAATCAAGCTTGTGTCTGTTTGTTTGTCTATTAACAGAATTTTACCAGAAACTATCTGGAAGTTATAACCGCTCCTATCCTAAATAACATAAAATGTGAAGGATGTGTACCTCGAGAATTTCATTAAATTCTTTATGAAATAAGTAATATAGAAATCACACATGGAGTGAGAAAGAAATAACATCACTTTCGATATTTTCTACTAAATGGCATTCTTTTTAGAAGTTCGACTTTGCTATTTTATTCAATACCAACAGAAGAAAAAGATAGCACTTATCATTGAGATAAGAAGCTAAAGCTGAGAAACATCCTATAAGTAGTCATTTTAACAAAATCCCACATTTCTTTATCTTTAAAAAAAATAAACAAATATATATATATATATAAAAGTCTTCTTGTATATACAAATAAATTTGTTTATGTGCTCGATAATGAAAAAATACGTTTCGAATATTTTTATTTTTTACAGTCCACCANATATAAAAGTCTTCTTGTATATACAAATAAATTTGTTTATGTGCTCGATAATGAAAAAATACGTTTCGAATATTTTTATTTTTTACAGTCCACCATCAAATAAGACAAAATGCATTCTTTGATTTACATTCTTTATTTTAGTTTTATTTTTACGACAGACCATTTATTTTCATCTTGTTTCATTAGCATAGTTTCTACATCTAAAAACTTTTCTCTTCTCTGCAACGGATTCTGTAAAATTTATCATGAATGATGTAACAATATATCCTAATATAAACTTAGAATTTCTGAATAAAACGCGTTTAATAATAATAAATATATATATTTTTAATTTGTAAAAAGTTGTAAAATAGATTAATAAAAATCGCAATTTTATTGAAGTTTTTTTTTTTTTAATTCGCTAACTCTGCTTAAAAATTTATAGTATCTAAAGAAAAATATATATTATTCCTCATACATTTATCTATTTATTCAGTTACTTTGGACCATTTTTAAAGTAATTTTTAGTTTTTGATCGAAAGAAAATTCTTGTTTATATTTTAAAATATTTATTCTATTTTCTATATCAAAGTTTAAGTATAATTCCTGTTCGTTTTTCGATAAGGAACAGTTGAACTTATCTTTTGTAGAATTCTCGAGAGAGTAGCAACTCCATCAATCAAAAAGCGCGTACGCAAACATACAGTTTGGACACTGTCCAGTATAAAATGTCTAGATTTGATGTTATATCGTTTAAAAAAAGAATTGTTTGTGATAAATAAAGATTAATGATGATAATTCTTGGATATTCTAGTTCTAATCTATATAGAATACGTCGGTTTGTTGGGAGTATCCATCAATGACATTATTCTCTTCTTTTCTAAAATAAAATTTAAAGATGTTTGATATGTTACATATCTGTAATATCATACTTTATCGCTTACAATAAAATTCGATATATATATATATTTATTAAATTTATAACTTGAAATTGTAGTTTTTTTTAATAACTTTTCCGAATAATTTAATTGTTAGTCGGTGGAATATATTAATAATAATCAAACTATAAAACTTACATTATTTATTATCTGCGAAATTTTGTGGTATGTTGTATCTGTTTCATGTCAGATGGCAATTAAAAAATTAACGATATATCTTATTTTTATTGCTTTTTTATATAAAAGTACAATTTAAGTAGGTTATAACAAGAAATAAAGTCAAAATTTTGAATTTTTGATTATATCCTGCTATAGCACGAAGTAAGTATTGTTATACAGCAGAGAAAGATAGAAAAGTTGATTAATTTCTGCTATATCTTGCTTTATAGTTTAGCTTAATGGGCTCTTTTGCCAAAAAAGCAATAATTAACTAACTTTCTGTATAATAAGAATTGTATATCTTCCATTCTTTGCTCTACAGCAAGATTATTTTCTGCTACTCTTCATTCTATGAAAGAACCATGTCTTGCTAGAGAACAAAGAGAGAAAGAACTTTGACTATTCTTTTCTATAACAATAAACTGTATTTTGTGATATAGCACGGATAAATTAAAAATTTTAACTTTTGATTATTCTTTAAAATATACCAAGAACTGTGTATTGATTATTCTTTTCAATAATATGATCAATACTTCATGATATAGAAGAGAAACGTTAAAATTTTGATTTTTTTTTGTAACAATTAAACTATATACAGGCGGTCCTGACTTTCAGACAATTTGCTCTTTCATACGCGATACTTTGAGACCTCTAAATCGCTTTTCGTACACAAATTCTGACTTTTTCGTACATTTTTCAGGCGACAAACAGAAATTTCCAGCTTTATCGCGCCAGTTTCGGTTTCGGTAACACCAAAATCACTTGTAGAAATCAATTTTTATTGCCTGTTTTCTGTTTAATCTATGATTTTTAACCTTTTTAAAATACTTTCTTATGCCTTTTTACATATTCTCTCTGAAAAACTAAAACTTTCCTATCTTAATAACTGATTTTATAATTTCTCTTTTTAGCTCTCTGTCAACGGAATCCCGTTTATAACGTCTTGCTCGACTTTCGGACATTCGACTTTCGTACACAATTTTAGGAATTCATTCGGTCCGAAAGTCGGGAACTGCCTGTATTACGTGAAATTTAATAGGGAATAATCAAAACTTAAAAAAAAAAAATTTTGGCTACTCATCATAACATTTAAAAAAAATAGAAATAATTCAAATTAAATGTGCTAATTTATTTTTCAGCTCTCATTATTCCCGCAATAAACATCATTTATAAATTCTCAGCATTCTATCTTCTTCGATAGAAGTTACAGAATAGGAATACAAAATGGCGGCATTTGTAGCCAAGCAGATGTTGGGGAGTAAAATGAATGCCGTCAAAGGTATGATTTTAATTGAAATATGGCACTAAAATTTAATATTAATTTATTTTGTATATTATTATTCAAAATTTGGTTATATTTTCAAACAAAATGGCTTAAAGTAAGGCTCTGCTTAATGGATGTATTGAGGAAACTAATCTATCAAGGGTTCTGCGGTTGGCATTGGCTAATTGATACCATTTGTTGATGGTTGATACTAAACCATTAAAGAAACTACAAAACGTGTAGATCGATTAAACTGATTTTCTCTTTCTCTATAAAATACTTTCCTTTTTTTCATAATAAATCAGATTTTTAACTGAAAATAAAGAAAAATAACTATTATGAAAATTCCAAATACATTTAAATTGAATTTTTTTTATTTTTTGTAATTTATCATCAGAATTCTATTAATATATACATATATATTATTTTTTATTTTTGAAAATTTCTTTAATGTTGCAACTTTTAAATTTGTTTTGGTGATAAATTATAATTTGAATTTTTCACTTAACAACAAATTATAATTAAAATGATTAAAAAAATTTAACTTATGAGAGATTAAAAAAAAAAATAAAATTATAGTTTAGACTAAATTATATAAATTTATAATTATTTTAAAAAAAATAAAATGTTGAATTAATATTTTGATAGAATTCTAGGGGAGAAACAAATAAGACATGCAGTTTTTCTTTGTTTTAAATAGAAAATCATTGTCTAAAGACAATTAAACATGGAAAATTATTCTGTGGAATGGGATAAATGCTAATTACTAAAATTTCATTAAACTGATGTTTGAGTAATTATAGTAGATTGAAGTTTTCTACTTAACATCATCGCATTTATTTCATTACTAGAATGCCGAAATTTTATCAAAAATATTATGTATATCTGGAAAATTTATCAAATATACTTCCCACGAGATTTGCATCTTGAGAATTTCAATGTAAATAATGGATCGAATGGATACAAAAATGATATATTTGTCTTATTTTTTCCTTATTTATATATCATATATTATCATTTCTATCTTGTTTATATTTGTATAAATCCATTATTTAATAAGTAATGAACGTACTGTACAAAGTAAGAAATGTATCGGATATCTCGTTAATAAGAAAATCATTAATTTTTCTATTTGATGTATTAGTTTTTGACGTTTTTGGAATATTTCTTCAGTTTTTTTACTAAAATTTCCTTATATATTTTTATTCCTTTCTCAATTTTTTGAGAGTTTATTCAATACAAAAAACGTACAGTTTCAATTTGTTTAGAGTTTAATTTCTTCAAAATTCCAAAAATAAACAGCGAAATCTTGTGATTATTTTTAAAAAGTTAGAAATTTTTTAATTGTTACATTTTACTAAAATAAAAATAAATAAATTTTAAATTATTATGAGCATGAATAAATAATGACAATACCGTAGAAAAATAATTTAAAAAATTTTTATTTTTCTAAATATAACAAATTATATTTAATTTGCTCATCAAAAGTGAAAAATAAATATTCTTTAAAATGAAAGTAGTTAGCGATTAATATTCAGCTACACGTTTAGTTCAGAAACTGTATTTTTCTCCTGTCACAATTTAATAAAATTACAATTTTAAATCGAATAATCAAAATTCAAAAAACAGAGTTTTCCATGCGTAAATATTGAAAGTTTAAACATAATTCTAGATTAAAGAAATTCTCACGAAACATTCCAATTTCAGAATATTGAATTTTCTTTGACTTATCATTCATATTTAAAACATGAATATTCGCAAAAGTAATATCATTAAAGTCATTTCATTTAGTAAAGTCTTTCGCTATTCTTATCACATGACATTTATCCGACAGATTGAATAGAAACGAGAAACTATAATTAGAAATATTGGAAAGAGTAATGCGACTGAACGTGATTGAAAGCATCTAATTATAACATTCTTGTGCTTAATCTAGTATTTGAAGTCGTACAAAGAGTATTTCAAGTCCTGTACAACTATTTATTATTTTTTAAATTTATTGTTATGTCGACAAAAATAATGAATTGAGTTTTCGTACTTATTTTTTAATTTTTTGCTTTTATTTTTATTCTTTTAGATTAAAACATTAAAATTTCTAGATTCGAGCGAATAATTTTCGTACTTATTTTCGTTTTAAGATTAAAAATTAATTTTAAAATTCTTACTTTTTATTTTTTTTTAGATTGAAGTAAATAAACTTTTGCATTTTATTTTCAATTTTTTAATATTATCAACAAGTAAATTTTCCATATTTTAAATCAATAATTTACATATTTTTCTTCTTTTTTTTAGATTTTCAAATCAGTAATAAATAAAATGTTCTTATTTATTTATATATTTTAAATTAAAATCAGCAAAACTGTCATCCGTAACAATGATTTGTTAATAAATATTTTCCATTTCTGTAAAATAAATTTAGCGCAACAAATATATTTTTTTTTTTTTTACTAAAACAAAATTCATCAAACATAATGCTAAAGGGAATTTTCGAAATTATATTTCTAAAACTTTCTAGTAAACTTATGATATGTGATAACAAGAAAAAATAAGAAAAAAAATAAATGAAATTTTAGGAAATATCATAAAAAATACTCTAAGTTTATATCTAAAAGTTATAAACATAAAGTAATATCGAGTTTCTATTTTATTAAATTACTATCACTCGACTTATTTATTTTTTCGATTTTCCCGATCATTTGGACTTGACTTTTTATTCTTAAATGTTTTTCTGCACATTTATATTATTATATTAAAAAATATATTGATTTTTTTAAAGAAATGATTCTAAAATTATAGTAATAAAAATTATTGCTAATGTAATAATAATAATAATCTATCGAATTATTCAAAGCTAATTAACGTATCAACATATTAATTAAAATTCACACATTCGCCTTATATTATTAGATGAAATTCGTTTATATCCGTTTAATATAATCCAGTTTTATTAATTAATTTACTAGAATATATTATTATAATCTCATTTATATTAATACAAGATCAAGAAGAAGTTGTATTTATATATAGAGAGGGATATTGGAAAATTTCATTACTTTATAACGGTTTAAAAATCGATTTAAGTAGTCTTTAGATAAAGCTGATTATATAAGAAAGAATATTTCTCGAAACAATTTTTTAGAAGTTTTTTTTTATTATTTATTCCGTTTCTATCTCGCGACAAATCCTTTGAACTTTTCTTGAAGTCGACAAAATACACATATATAAAAAACGAGAGCATCTTTACAATATATCTTATATCAGTAGGGGTTTGTTGTAAAAGTTTTACTATCCAAGCAAAACCTGTATATCGTTTCCTATCAGAAGTATTTTCTCCACGAAGAAAAGCTATAACCTAGAATGTTCTTTAAAGTCTCGCGACATTTTGGCAAAACCACAAGTGACGATTTATTGTTAACAATTAACCTCTTACACCTGAGGCTATCTGATGTGGTGACATCAACTTATATCTAGGACAATCCATCGTTTACTAGGGGATTTCAGACCATTGGTTGTTATTTTCTGCTCAATGTACCGTTTTACCATACCATCCATTATGTCAACCGTAATCTTCCATTTTCTGGTCATTCTATACATCACCCGACATTACTCTAGTTTGTTCCTAAAGTAACATCACACGATTTTTAGAAATGACAAAGTATAACGTTATAAGCCAACATTTTTCTAAAAATATTCACTAATTAATTTCCTGTATAAATCTATTCTTAAAATATAAATAAAAGAAATATAAATATTTCTTGTGTATAAATTAATTAATAATAAGAAAAACTTTTTAATTTTGTATATTTTATACTTAGTTTCTTAAAAAAGAAAAGCGTTAAATATATTTTTCTTATATATTGCATAAAGTGTTAAATAAAATTATTATTATTTTTTAATTAAATTTGAATTTTATTAATTTATCGTTCTATAAAAATTAACGTTAAAAAAATCCAATTTTATTAGTTAAATTCATATCAAAATTGTATTAAAAGCTATGTGGTTTTTTTTCTTTTAATTATTTCACTGGATGCAAATCTTATTAGGAAACGAAATTAAACAATACTTTCTACAGAAATAAAAATAAACTGAATTTAATTTATTTTATTTTAAGTACATTACTTCCAACTTTTGTGTGATTTAAATTTTTAGCTAAGATTCTCTTAATCTACTATTTCATAATAATTTATTTTTATGATATATCGAGTGACAGTGAGAGTGGGTGTTTTTTTTTCCACTCACCAATAGCAGTTAAATTTGATCTTATATATCCTTTTAAAATTGGAATTTATAATTATTAAAGTGCAGATTTAATAACAATATCGAAAACATACTTGAAAGGAACTTGAAAAATTCGATATTTTCGATATTTTAAATTGCATAATTTTATACGTTATCGATAAGTAAATGGATATTCTATTCTAATGTAAAGGGTGAATATGAAATCTTTCAGAAATCTGCATACGTATGCATAAATAATTATCCGTTTCAGCAATTCCTCTTCATTAAAAGTCTAATTTTAATAATCAAAAAACTTGTTCATATCTGTCTAATTATCTTTATAATGATCATTTGGCTTTCAGCCATAGCATTAATGGATCTTTGAGTCATTTTCAGCATTTCAGTTTCCTTTATAATTTGATTTCTCTAATTCTGATTTCAGCAATGAAATTTGAACAATCTTGTCAAATAATTCCCAGTTTTGTCTCTTTCTTACTAAATTGGATTTATTACTGTCTCTTTTATAATAATCTAACAGTCACAATCTCTTTTCATTCTTATCTTCTTTTCTCTCTTCTTACTTTTGACATAATCATATTTGAAACTAATGTCAAAGTTCAGTCTTACAAACAGCATTTTCAACATTTACTTTTATGTATTNCCAACTTTTGTGTGATTTAAATTTTTAGCTAAGATTCTCTTAATCTACTATTTCATAATAATTTATTTTTATGATATATCGAGTGACAGTGAGAGTGGGTGTTTTTTTTTCCACTCACCAATAGCAGTTAAATTTG